CGCCTTGATAAGAAGAATACACACCTTAAATTTTAAGTGATTTGGATTTATATAAAAAAAATTAAAATTAAAATAGAAAAAGATGTCGTGACCGTCAAATCGGCCCAGATTGCATATGGGCCATTGGCATTTACTGTAACGGTCAGCTAGTGGGCGTACATAGTCCACTCCCATATATATATATTAATGATCTTATGAGACCCTCCTATATCCATGTATGTAGGATTCCAAAGGATCACCATTAAATTTAGCACAGATCTCTAAAAAGGTTATCACGGGACTTGACTTTTCTAGATATCTGTATCAAATTTAATGGTAATCCTTTGAGGTCCTACACACATGAGTGTGGGAGGGTCTAATAGGATCATTGCTCATTATATATATATATATATATATATGGTGTGGTTTCTATAAGGTTGCAACCTTAAACAATCCATTTAAGGCGCACCTCCAAATTTTATCATTATATGTAATTTTGGTGTAAAAGATTCTTAGGATTATTTGAAAATCTATTTTCATATCCAATTAGAAAATTTTAAAATCTTGAAAATGGACGGTCTAGATAATGTGTTACAAGATGCACTATTTTTGGGACTCAAAATCTTTTATTTTTTCATACTCATACATTTCGATGTCGAGATGATCAATTAGAGGGTTTTTTTAACATTAAAATAACTTTTTCCATTGGAAGTTTGAGGTGTCTCTTTAGTTCTACATTTTAAGGTTGCAACCTTATATAAACTTTTTTCATCTTACCAAAAGGAAGGGGCATTAAGTGTGGTTATATTAGTGAATTCTTTTTTTTTTTCTTCTTTCTTGAATGTTTTAATATTGGTGAATTTCATAGAAATTTGTCTAATTTAAGGTAAGGTTTTTGCAGGGTTACAGTTGTTGCAGTTCTAAAATAGATGGTAAAGCTACACCGGGAAATCCCACCAGAAAATAAAGTTGCAAAGAAAAATTTATGATGGTCTACCAATCTATTTCACTCCACACTATGAAATTTAAATCTAAAAAAATAGTGCAAATGTGGTACATATGTGAACTTGAAATGAGCGTTCTAGAAATTTTCTTACAAAGACCAAATCTTGTAATCCGCTTTTCTTTCATATCCATGATTGTGGAGTCAGTTCTGAAAAAAACAATTTTTGAAAAAACAATTATTAAGCTCTTATTAATAAAATAATTCATTTTTAATTGTAATACATTGCAATTTAAAATCGTAATGGAGGGTCTGATTCTTATTGGTGTTGTACTTTTTATAGACAACAAAAGGAAAAAAAACTTTCCTTAAACTAGAAATTTGCAAGAATATCATATTTAATGAGAAAGTGTTTGGCATTTTCTTTTGTGGATCTATTAAAATAAACAAAATCGAGATCTCATCTGATAGTCTATACTCTATAGGTCTACTTCTTCTTTTATTTTATTGCCATATTTTTTATTCTTGAATTTCACTGTTCCCCTTTAGTCAAGCCAAACATTCATGGTTTCTCCATTCCATTTGGGGCAAATCATATGTATGCTTTACTTCTTAAAAAATGAAACAAGATCTTTAGAAGCTGTGTGTAAAGGCCGGATCTCTCTCTTTCTCTCTCTCTCTCTCTCTCTCTCTCTCAGTGTCTATATGATTCTCATCCTTTTAGCCGTCTAGTCCTTTTAGCCTTCTAGCTAGTGTAGAGACTAGTCGGTCGGGTCTCTCTCTCTCTCTCTCTCTCACACAGTGTCTATATGATTCTCATCCTTTTAGCCGTCTAGTCCTTTTAGCCTTTTAGCTAGGGTAGAGACTAGTCGGTCGGGCCTGGTTCAACCTAACCTGAATCCAACCCAATTGGGTCTAACTTATGTCCCAACCCACTAGGTTGGACCAGTGTAGGTTTAGTATGTACATATTTATAAAATGGTTGGGATAAAACTTTGATGATGATAGGGTTACATTTTATGAATATTGTTTCAATAAGACCCTCTACTATCCATGTGTATAAGACCCCGAATGATCATCATTAAAGTTGGTACAGATCTCTAAAAAAATTATCACATGAGTGAAGGATTTGACTTTTCTATAAATTCGTACTAAATTTAATGGTGATCTTTTAAAGTCCTACACATATAATTGGGGGAAGATCCTATAGGATCATTGCTCATATTTTATTTATCAAACTCAATAAGATCTGGGATGGATGCATAATTGGGCTGGACACGAATCAGGTCTAGGTCAAATGGACCTGGATGACTGGACACAATCATTTGGGTCTGGTATATCACTCGAAACACACACCGATCATGTCGACTATCGGTCCGAACAAGATCGGTTGGGTCTGGCATACAAGTCGAAATACACGAAATCAAGTCAAACCATCGGGTCGGTGGGTCGGCCTAACTTACTGCCCATCCCTACTTCTACCCCCTCTTTGATATTCCTCTCTATCTCTGTAATTCCCACCTTCCAACCCACCCTCTCCATGCATAAAAGCCAGAATTTTATGCATCTCACTCATAGAAGCAGAGCATTTTCCTTTTGGACTCTCTCTCTCTCTCCTCCCACCATTTCTCTCTTTCTATCCATTTATTCTTCTCTCCATGCTTTTTCAAAGGCTTTTTTTTCTTTCGTTCTCTCTCATATTTTTTTTATTTTTTGCTCTCTTTCTCTCTCCTAAATTTTATTTTTTTGTTTGGGACTTTTTGGCCTCATGGGAAAGGGTGGGAGAACTTTAGAGAGATGGGAGAGGAGAAAGGGGGGCAAGTCCAGTGGGAGAATTTTTAGAGAGAGATAAAGTAGGATTTTTAGAGAGAGAAAGAAAAGAAAGGACCGTAGGCCATGTCCTGTCCCAGTGGCACGTGCAAAAAGTACTCCCATAGAAAGTGACTTCAAAATCCCTTACGGTCGCATAGAAGCCCGCCCTTATCCCTTCCACGTAATGACTAAAATAGCCCTATATCAACAATTTATTACCAAGATGGTCTTTATTTTAGGGAAATTAAAAAACATATAATTTTTTAGATTATTAAAAGCAAACCCCCAAATTTTCAGAATTTCAGCCATACCCCATTTCACCATTTTACCCCATTTCACCATTTTTCGCTTTTTTGTGACTAAAATACCTTTCACATGGGTATTATGTCCTCAGCGTGACGATAGGGTATGCTGATAAATGATGATCACCTTGATTATCATGGAATTCGCACTACCATGATACCCTTCAAGGAAATCTATCCGCCAGTACAGATAGGCTTAAAACCTGTTGTGACCATCATAGTTCTTTTAGTGTCGGGATGCTTCAAGAGACCATCTCAGTTCTTTAAGTGTCATGGTACTAGTGATCATCGCAGTTATTTAAGTGTTGTGATGCTTCTCTTTTGTTTTCCAGTAACAAATTAGGATTTTGTTGAAGAGATCACGTGTATGCACCTTGACGCACACTAGCCCATGGCTTCTTGAATCTCCGGTGGAGAATTTAAAAAAAGGAAAATCTTTTAGTGAATCTTCACCTATATGCAATTTATATGAATATAGAGTTTATTTTTAATTGGTGACCTATAATTGTTTAATCTTGATACAATTATTTTTAGTGAGCTGAAAAACAATATCAAAGATGCTAATTGTATTTGTCATGCAATAACTATTGTGTGATATTATTGTCAGTTCATTCCTAGTTATCTGGTCCATCCGATCTAGTTGCAGATGTCTCCAATGTTTATGTGCTTGGAAACACATAACAAGCTCATTCAAATAAAAAGCAAAGAATTATGTTAGGGATATGCTTAGAATCTTATAAATTAGTTATAATTTTAAGTGTGTTTGCACCATAGGCCCTGAAAACTTGCCACAACCCAAACTCATGATAATAATATAACATTGACATGGGAACCCCTTTTTTAGTGTGTTTGCAGTTGCATTAAGTCATAAAAGATTGTCATGGACCAAACTCATTGGGAACAGGTATGTATATAGCACATATGCACATGAATCTTTTTCCTTTGAAGCATAGTTCTTGTTTATTTCTATTTTTTATTTTCTAGGGTATTTGAGTACCTTCAAGGTCCACAATGAGGAAACCATATGAGAACCAAGCTCAAGGTATCAAAGTATTAGAAAGAAAAAAAAGAAGGGAAAGATATCAATTAAGGGGTTGAAACCCCTAAATAGAATTAGGTCAAAAGATTACAAATAACATTTGATGATTTGCTTTTAAATTCTATTTCAACCAAATGTATATATTTAAAAAGTCCTAGATTGCTCTTGTTTAATGTTGAAAAGCCCAAACAATTTGAGGCACTTTAATAATTTTACCTCCAAACATGCATTAGGATACCAGATGCTGCCTATTTAGAATTACAAATAATGAACAGTTTATTCAGTATTTGAAACAAGGACAAGAAGGGGCATTTACATCAACTGTCATATTCTTCCTAATTTTAAATAATAAAGAAATTGTTCGTTACTTCTAACTCCAAAAAAGTAGAGGTACTTTTGTCACTCCGTTAAAGGCCTTTTCGGGCCAAATTAACCAAAGCGCCGAACATGGCGATCTAATATTTTTAGCATTTTTTTTTAAAAGATGTCTTATTGGAATAAAAATTAAAAAAAAAAATAAATATAATGTATTATCTTTTGACCAATTTATTCCATAATTGACATTTCCCAAAAGACACCCAAACATCTTCAACAAAATTGTTCCCACCCCCATCCCTTCTTTTCCCCATGAAAAAAAAAAAGGAAAAAAAGAAAAAAACAGGAAAGGAGATACATTGGTAAGAAAATTAGCAATGTCCTACAATTCCCCAAGTGAGAAACCAAGTTTAGTTCCATAGGGTTTGCTCTTCAAGCATTTCAATAAGCTTTGGGTTGTGCATTAGCTTGGAAAAATACACCCTTCTGTTTCAATTACCATTAGGGATGATGAACAAAGACATTGATCGGTGAAAGTAAAACAGTGAACAGGAAATGCAACAAGCAACTAATAACCAACAAATTGAACATGACATCGAAGAGCTGAGAGTTCGACGAAAAAGAGCACTTTATTGACGAATATGGCTGGTCGAACATGGCCAGTAACTCAACCGATACACAGATCCTACAATTCATGTACATACATATTAAAAAAAACAAAATTGCAAAAAAATAAAAAATAAATTAAGGAAAACAAAACTCTCCCTTGGTCAGAGCATCGTCATCATATCTACATATAACACAATTTGTACTTCATTTATTGGTAAGCGTGGGATTCGAACACGCGACATACCGTGCAAGACTAGACCTCCAAACCAATAGACTACTAGGCACAAGCCCTCAAAAGACACTCACTCATAAATCTCCCTCATTCTCCTCATGATCTTTTTCTGAAGAATGAAAAAGGAAAAAATGAAGAAAAATAAGAAAGAAATATTTTCCTTCTGTTTTTTTACTTAGCAGCCCCAGTGTGTTGGTAAACAGTTCCTAAGGCCTCGGTGCAAATTCCTGAGAACCCGACCATCGCCTGAAAAACACCAGGCAACCCAGTCTGGATATTGTTGAGAGTCATTGCCCTTGTAACTTGAATTGCCTTTACATGTTTTGCTCTCTCTTCCTCTGCCTTTCTTCGGCACGCATCAACTTCTGCCTTCTTCTCAATTAGTGGATCTCTAGCATCAAGGACTCCCCCAGTGTCTGATTCACCTCCAGGATTCACTCCAACTAATGAATACGAGTTATAAAACTTCCTCGCTATATTTCGAAGATTCGAAGCCTTCTTCTCGAGCTCCTTCTCTGCAGTCTCAGCACGTTTATTGCACTTGAGCTCCTCAGCTTGACGCATGGCTATGGAGTGGACGACAATCGCAAAGCCCTTGATGGCCTCAGAGGCCACAGTGTCGGGAACCCTCTCAGCTACCTGTTTCCACTCATCGCAAAGGCTATACATTTGAGATGCCTCGTTAGGGGCACTATCGAGAATTTGGGCTGGGCTGCTAGGAGGAGCTAGAGTCAATTCAGGGTGTGCGATTGTTAGGCGAAGCCACGAGTGTAGAGCGCGAACATAGTCACGATGGTAGCGAGTGAGCCGAGAGAAGCTTGAGTGCCAAGACGAGACAGCAGCCTCGAGGTGCAGTGTAGCACGGCGGTGTATGTCGGAGGTCGAGGTCCCAACAGGTGGGTTTTCGAGGCCACGGACCTGTTGCACAATCCGGTTTTGGGCCTCGTGGCAACGGTTCATTGCTTGCCACATTTGCATCAACCTATTAAAATAAAAATAAACAAACTAAATTCAGGCACATTTGAATCAACCTGAAAATGTGAGTAACACGCGACAGCAGCGTGTGGACATACAATTTTCTTTTAATTTTAATAAATCAGATGCATGAAAGAATAGATTGGGACTTATGGCCTCACTAAAGATATGACCTTTAATAGAGCAGAATGACAGATCATGATTCAGGTAACCGACTCCAAATAATTGAAAAAAAAGCTTTGATGAAGATGAAGATGACGACAAAAGAGTAGATGAGCATAAAAAGCTCTTGTGTGGAAGGTACAAGTGAAAAAGTGGTTAAGGGACAGGTAAGCTGGTTAGCATGAGGGACAAAACATTAAACTGTCAAGCTAGAAACTGGATATTTATAGACAAAAGCATTCGATGATTTAATCTTTGTATAACCACATTTGCATCAAACTAGAAAATGGATCAACCTAGCATAAACCTAGAAAATGGATATCTAACATATTTGAGACTTGGATCTCTGTTTTTTTTCTCTCAGTTCAAATATTAACAAGAAAAATACGTGAGTTTGCTAGGCACTAGAGTGAGAGAGAGAAAGAGAGAGAAAGAGAGTAGGCAAGCAAATAACTAGTTGAGGGGGGTGACAAGGGGGCATGTAAGTTTACATTGTATACCAGGGACAGATTTTCTCTCAAACTCCTAAGAATTACATTGTTGGTTTTGCAAAGAAAAGATTCAATAACTCTGCCTTGGAAGAAAGAACTACGTTAACAATCCCCAAAAAGAAATAAAAAAAAAAAGGAAAAAAATATATTGTTCCCCATTTTCTATTATTCTAGGCAAGCAATGCTGTAGCCTTCTAGAGAATTTACTAAGAACAAATATGATGCCCCATTTTCTCTTATGGCATAAGCTGGAATCAAATTGTAGCATTCTAGAGAACTTGCAAGAAAGATATTGCCTTTCAACATGCCTATTTTTCTTATGCAAAGAAGTTATACACTAGCAAAAACAAATACAAAGCAAACAGCAAATATCGAAAGAGAAACGCAAAAAAGAGACACAGCGACGGCATGGGGTGTGTGTTTTTTGTGTGTGAGTGTCAATGTGAGTGTGAGTGTGAGTGTGCGTGTGAGAGAAAGACTTACCCACAACATAGGTTAACGAGTTGGGGGGCGAGCTCGTCATCACGTATCTTTACAATGGCAGAGGAGGTGGCAGTAACAGCCTGCGTTGCAACCACAATCAAGGAATGCAGCCTCTTAATGGAGGACTTGGTTTTGTCCAACTTAATCTCATCTTTCCCCTTACCCTCCTGCCTCCTCAACAACTCTAACTTCTTCTCATGCTCGATTTTTGTCGCCTCTCTGACCTGTAAGAGACATCATCAAACATATCTTTCTCAAGATTCGTCTACAACAACGACGAAAGCCAGAATTCAGTTTAAATTAAAACAAGTCATTAAAACTGTGTCTCTCAGACAGACACACACACAAAAAGAAGAGAGTATGATAAACAATGAAAGCAAGTAATAATGAGAACAAAATTATATACCCGGACTTCATTGTAGAGCTTCTTCTCCCATGCTAGAAGGCGCTCTAAAGTCGAGCAATGGCTGGTCTGTGTGCTTGACAAAAGGAGGGAATCAGGATGGAGAGTGTATCTAATGGCGAGGGGCGGCTTTGACGTCCAACTCGATGACAAAGTGCTCAATACACTGCTCGAATGGTACACCGTCTCTGTAAAAATAATATCAATAATAATTAATAAAATAAATAATTATTTAAGCAATTGCTTTATTTGTTCTTGAAAAAAAAGTGGTTGGTCATTTATCTTTGTTTTGTCTTTTGTCAGTTGGAGAATAAAAAATCATCCATGTCAGGGAAAACCCAAACCTCAGAAAAATAATAAAATTCTAAATGTTTATATTTTCAATAATTGCTTTTTTTCTTTTTCTTTTCTTTGAGGTATTTCATCCAAGAAGGTAAGAAAATAAAAACATGTAGAGAGAGAAAGTGGGGGGCCAAAAGAGACAAGGATTTCTTTTTCTAATTGTCCTTGTGGTGAAATGACGACAAATGAGGTTTGCAGTTTGCACCAGAAACATTTCCGGTTGCAGAGCACATGTAGGTGCAGCTAAGCCAGCTTACCAGCCAAAAAGGGAAGGTTTTCCCTAGAAGACAATTCAATTTATGAGAGAGAGAGAAAGAGCATATAGATTTTGAGGGGGTATGGACACATTTCTAGGTTTGCATTAGAGAGAGGAATTTTTGAGGGTGCATAGAAACAATGCTACGTTTGCATAAAGAGAGAGAATGAATAGCTACATTTTGCAGAGAGAGAGAGCATTACTATTTTTACTGGTTCCTAAGGTGAGCTAGAAACATTGCAAGATTTGCAGAAAGAGAAAGGATGCATATTGAGAGGGAGAGAGAGAGAGCAATACTAATTATACTAGTTTGAGGCGTGCTATAAATATTTCAATCTTTGCAGAAAGAGAAATGACTCACATTTAGAGAGAGAAACTCTAGAGACAGAGAGAATCTGGAAAGAGATTAATAATCAATACAACAAGACCAGGTGGAGAACAAAAATGCCAAAAAGAGTCTCCATAAATTTCCAGTGAAATAATTACTAAGAAATCCACCATTTTCACCACATTTCACTAAATCAATGGAAAATATAGAAATTCAATAATCTGACTACAAACAACACCCCCACAGCAAAAAAAAAAAACAAAGATAGAAATATATATATATATATATATATATAGAGAGAGAGAGAGAGAGAGAGAGTAAACAAAAAAGATTTTAAGAAAAAACAAAAGGACATAAAGACAGAAATTGATAAAGAAAAAAACGGGGCATTTTCTTACTCCTCAATTGCTTGAAACTCTGTTCAAATTGAGCTCTGCTCGTTTCTAGAAGCTCAGACACCTCTTTTCCTGCATCTGCCGCTTTATCAAACCACTCCTCCAAAGCCCTCACAATCTCACCCAGGTCCTTGTGCCTCACAACCACCTGCAACTCTTCCAATCCCTTCTCCTCACTTTTCTCGGCGACACTTGCCAGAAATCTTGCCGGAAAAGTATCTGAGCTTGCTGGAAAACGATCCGAACCCATATGATAATGCTCTGAGCTAGCCGGATAATGCTCCGAGCTCTCCGGAAAAGTCCCTGAACCCACCGGGAAAGTCCCCGAACCCGCCGGAAAATCCCCTGGAAAAGCGTGGAAAACCCCTGAACCTGCTGGGAAAACGCCTGAACCGGCCGGAAAAGCCCCTGAACCTGCCGGAAACGTCCCTGAACTCGCCGGAAAAGATCTCTCGGAACCCAACTTCTCGTCCTTCTCTTCTACTTGTTCTTCTTCTTCTTGTCCTCCTCCTTCTTCGTCTTCATCTGAGCTGCCCCATTCACTGCAACATCTCTCTTCTCTCTCCTCTTCCTCGTGTTTAAAAACCCCATTCTCGGGCCTGAAACCGCCATTTCTTTCTGCTTCTTTCTGCCTGAAATAGTCAGAACCAGGCGACGATGAAAGCCCATTCTCCGGCCTGAAACCGCCATTTTTCTCCGCCTCTTTCTGCCTGAAGTAGTCAGAACCAGGCGGCGATGGAGGGTAGAAATCCTCCCAGTTCCAAATCGACGAGGTCTGAGATGGGGTGGCCGAAAAATTCAGAGAATTGAACCTTCCATTGTAGGATTTCTCTGTTGGGGCCTTCTCAGAATTTGCAGAGACCCCATTCTTCCGAGAAGGGGTACCGGAAAAGTTCGAACCAGTCCGTACTCTGCGAGGCGGATGCCGATTCACGTGAGGGGTAGGATGGTAATTGGGATCGGAGGAGAGAGAAGAGGCCCGAGAGAAACTGAAAGGATTCTTGGGATTTGAGATGGGCGATGAGAGAGAAGAAGGATGAGAGAGATTGTTGGGTACCTTGGAATTGGTGAAAGTGGGGGAGGAAGAGAGAGAAGATGAAGATTGATGAGAGAGAGAGTTGGGTTTCTCAGAGGCGACGGAGCCTCCGGTTTTGGGGATCACAATGGCGGGAGTTTGGCCGGAAACCGCCATTGGCTCGCCTGAGGCGAACTGGGTGAGAGCTGAAGCGGTGAGGCGGAGGGCTCTGAGGTAATCGGAGTGAGCGGAAGCCAATTGATGGCGAGAGCGAACGGCTTGCTTTATCAGGCGCCGTCTCTCTCTGCAACGACTCACCGTCTCTTCATTGTCCACCTTTGAAGCTCCGCACCCCATTTCTCGATAGCTTCGGAAGTGGCGGAAATGGGGTCTTCTAGGACGATTCTAGAGAGATAAACGCCAGGTTTGGGGGAGGAAACGGCGGTCTTATGAGATGGGGTTGCTGGGTTTTT